ATGTGTGTGTATAGACATATATATGTATATACATATATAAAATATATATAATATATTATATATATATATATAATTGTATATATATATATATATATATATATATATATATATATTCACGATATTTTATATATATTAAAGACATTTTGATTTTATTTCATTTTTTTTAATAGATTTTCCATGTCAGCTAAATTAATTGTTAAATCAAAACATTATTATGTAATGAAGAATGATTATGATTTGTTTATTTCTGCTGAACAGAAACTGTCCGATCAGAAGAAAATCAAACAAGAGTTCAGTAAATATGTTTGGCTTCCTCCAGAGTTTTGTTAAACGGTTCTCAGTCCAACATTTTGACATTTAGTTAAACTTTTTGGAATTTTCCTCAGAAATGTTTTGATGCCACATCAGGAACAACAACTAGTTGTGGCTTTACCAACCTGAGCTCCAGCAGGTCATGACTGGCTGCTTGTATTTCTTATTTAAAGGGTCACCATTTTGTGTGGGAACACCTAATGGTTAATAGTAAAAGAGTCTGAGCTTACAGTTAGTCTGACCTGTCCTTCACTGCTGCAGAGAAAAGACTACTCATCCTGTCTGAGAGGCCTCTCTGTGGCCTCTAGTCCTCACTGTGAGCACGGAGAGAGAGAGGGATGATGGGAGGATGGGAGGGAGAGATGGCTGATGGACTCCACAGCATCACTCTCTGGGGAGACCGAGCGGGCATCACCATCAAGCAGCCCCTGACAGCTCATACCACGCCTGAGCAGCTCTCTGACGAGCTGCGGCACTGCGCAGGGAAGGGAAGGAGGAGCTGTGGTGGGAGGTGGGGGGCAGGAGGAGAAACGAGCACACTCAGCAGAAGTGGAGTGCTGTAAGGGAGGCGCGATAACCACTAGGGTTATTACTGTGGAGCAGGCCGTGGGACACTGCAGCTCTCTGAGACAGCCCACTGACTCTTTGGAGCTGGAGGTGGGTGGGGAGGGGGGCACACTGCAGGGATATGACACCCCGCCTCCATTACACACTGTCCAGGCCTCAATCAAAGAAAGCTCTCATACTGTAAATATACTGTAACAGGTACTTCTTTGGTCACCGTCAGCTTCACAGCTGTAATAATCTTGTAAATGAATATGTCATGTTAACACTCACAATAAATGTTGGGCATGACCCTCAGCTACTACCACACCAGGTTTTAGCTCATCATCTGTGAAATCCATCATTTTTGTACTGGCTGACGTTGATTACATGTGGCGGCCATCTTTAAATGGAATGACTCCATTCAGTTGTAGATGTAGATCCACAAATTACTTTCTAAGAATTATTAATAAAACAAAACAAAATAAACAAACAAACAACAAAAATGGTTATTTCTTGTTATAAGTGATAACATACCATAAAGATAAAAACCTAGCACACAACATACATACATTCTCCATACATGAATCAATATGAACAGCATTTATCAATAAAGCTGTGATAATTAAACTTTTTAATCTTGCTAATTATTATCAACAACAACAACAACAATAATAAACTTTATTTAGTTCAACAATTTCCTGCCAGATCAGTAAAGTTCTGTCTTATCTTATTAATTTTCACCTAAAATTATTATTTAGCTATTGTTTCAAAGGTTTTAGAGAAAATGTTGATGTTTTCAGAAAACAGGTTTCTGCTGAGTCAGCGTTTACTCTGCAGTTTTCTGTCAAAAGTTTTTTTTGTACTTTGTTTTTAGCTGTGATTTCTTCTGCACGTTTTATTTCAACCATTCATGTATCAAAATGTTCAGCTCGTTCAAGACATCATTTAGCCCGTGACTTGTTTTATGTAAGTTTTGAAATATTTACCTTTATTGACATTTTTCTTTTCATCAAAATGAACTTAAAACTCATCAAATCCTCGAACAACGGTGTGCTCCTTTACTTTAGCATTATTCTTTTATTTTTAGGCTTTAGCTATTGTTTAGCTCATTTTAGTTGTTATCCACTGTTTTGTTAAAGTAGCTTTAATTTGCCATTTTTTCTGGTTTTAGATTTTAGCTCATATTCTGCAAAATTGAGCTTTTAGCCATTATTTTGCTAATTTACGTTTTTGTTTAGCTAAATGAACTGTTCCTAATTTGCTGATATGAGCTTTCTGCTTTTGTGATTTTTAGCATTTTGCTACCATACTTACTTTAGCTTTTAGCTACTGTTCTACCAATTTTATACTTCAGCTACTATATCACAAATTATTATTATTTCACTTTTTCTTAATTCACTGTTCTGCTAAATGTAGCTTTTAGCTACTATTTTGCTTTTAGTCATTGTATGCTTATTTTAGCTTTAAGCTACCTTTTTGCTAATTTTAGCTTTTAGCTGATTTTTCATCATTTTAATTTCAATAAATCAGTTTCATGTTTTCCTAACTTCATGGCTTCAAAACTCTGCAGTCACAGTTAAAACAATAAAACTCTGTGTTTATCTTCAGGAAAATAATGAGACAAAACTGAAACAATGCTGGAAATAAAGAGTTTGTGAGAAACGTCCACCATTTAAAAACTCTTCCACAACATAATGAGGCGCTTTTGGAAACCTTTTGTTTTAGTATTTATTTCATTTTGTCCTAATCTTTTGCTGGAAAAGGTTCAAATAAAATACATTTTATAAATCAAATTAATAACCAATATTCAAAGGCAAAACATGCAGACACGTTTTTGTTGCGTTCAAAATGTCCAAAAGTCTGTTTAAAATAAAAGATTGCTCAAAGTTGTCTAAAGAACTGATATTTGTGGACATCAAGTTGGAGGAAAAAGAATGATTTGGATCATTTGGGAACATTTTGGTTAAAATAACGAGTTTTTTTTAGGAGCTTGTGGTTCTAGCAGACGGAAGATGTCCTCACAAGTAGAGACGTTTTAGAATAAACCCTAAAGACAATTTCTGCTTTTCCGTTTGAATCCTTGTTAGATTTTCTCATTTCTCCTCTCTTCACGGCACGCGCGCAGTCAGGGAGGAGGCGCTGAGTGAACGCGCGCGATGTAAATGCTTCTATTAACTGCAAAGTGCTGCCGTTATTTCTGCGTTTTGTTGCTCGGCTGGCTTTTCCAATCTAAAGCCGTGGAAGTGAAACAATGCTGCGCGCAAAACCCTTTCATTTGTCTCTGTCCGCGCAGGGGGAGAGAGAAATGCTGCATTCCCCCTGCAGAGGAAACAAGAGCAGAAGCAGAGGATGCTGTAAAATGGACCCCCTTCTTTTTATCTTGACCTCATCTTTGCGTCAACTGTTTGTTCAATGTGTTAGTTCCTGATGCACAACATCCTCCGTGCTCTGCAGCCTGGTGTGCGCGTGCAAAGAGCTGCTTTTAACCTGCAGAAACGAGTTCAACGTGCTGCTGATCTATGATTGCGCGTGAAAACGTGTGGTTTTTACTAATAAAACCGAAGTGCGCGGCTCCAGCTCAGAAACGTCATGCGCTGACAGGACGTCAAGACGCACCAAGGAGCGCAACACTTCCATTAACCTTGCAGCAGCTCATCTTTAGTCTCGCACCACGTTTTAATTAATTTATTCCCACCTCTTAAAAAAAAAAAAGAAAAGCTCCTGAACGAGCCTCACCTGCAGATCTGGGTTGTCTTCGTGCTGATGGTGCGCTTCCTCCGCCGCCTCCACGAGCCGCTGAGAGGAGGGAAACAAACCAGTTTATGATAAACCACTCTGGATAATGCTGGGGAAATTATAATCTGTGCAACCAAAAGAACATCACACCAAACTTCTCCAAAAATAACTTTCAGCCATAGTCGCGCCTTGCTTTTTTTGTTGTTGTGACGTTTGCGCATTCATCAGCTTAAAAAAAAAAGGTTTCATTCAATAAAATAAACAATTTCAACATTTATTTTAAACAATTTTTTTTGTTTGTTTCCTTTCAAATAACACCATGGCCACAGATGTGAGCGCCGAAAGATGGATGGAGGCTGGAGACAGATTTTTGTGCCGCTCTCCACCAAAGCTCACGCACGGATACATTCTATAATAACTCGATTCTGGGGGAAGGAATAAAAAAGTGCTTGGCTCTGTGGTTCCCGAGAAATCATTCCGCCTTCACAGCAGAGCAGGTAATTAACATCTGTCACATGTGTCAAAAAGAACTGCTACATAAACACAACTGGTGACCGAATTCACCTGACCCACATCAGATCATGTTCAGCTGCAGAGGAGGAAATACAAGATGGATTTAATGCTCATGGTTCAGGTGGAGGACGTTCTTCTTTAACCTGTTTTTTTAAATCAAATCTTAGAGCAGTGAGACTTGCATGGATTTTCAGAGGACAAATTGTTGATAAGGTATCTTGTTTTTTTAATATTAATATTTACACTCATTAAAAAAACCATCATCTCACTGTATCCAGTTTATTAAATTAAATCCTTTTGGATGTAATTTCCACTCTAAGTGTTGTGATTTATCTCACACATGGGAAGAGATAAACCTTATCACCCCCCAGCAGTCCCAGCAGAGGACAAAGATGTGCAAGGGACACATGTTCAGTTTAAGGACACTCCAAGTGACAAAACACCCTGAAACTCCTTATTATTTTACAAAAAAATATGAAGCCTCTGTTGAATCAAAGAACATCATCGCTGCTGTTTTTTCTTACCACTTTATATAATGATAAAATAAATATATATCAGTACAGCAGCAGGTTCCTGACTGTTTCCATCAGAACATGCTTGTTATGTCATATTTAAGGTTTGTTTTGTCTTAATCCTGTTTTTTTCTTTTATTTTTGTAATTTGAGTTTATTTGTTAATGTCAGTTTTATTCATATAGCACATTTAAAAACAACATTGACCAAACTGCTTAACAAAGCGGTTAAGAACAAACAGGAACAAACACATTTTTTTTTTGAATAGCAAACATTAAAAATTCATAAGCATGATAACAAACAACAAACCAAAGCAAGAAAATATCACAACCTCAAACTTCTTAAGGAACTCAAACCCAACTTGAATTAAAAGTTCATGTAAAATGTGAGTTTTGAACAGGAGCAGGTTGTTGCAGAGTCTGGGGGCTGCCACTTCAAAAGCCTGACCCACTCTGTGCTTTTATCTAGTCATGGTTCTGTTTTAATATTAAGCTCCACCTTTTTCCTTTTTATCATATCATCAGTCAATCTCATTTTGTTTCTCTCAGCCGTTCAGTTGAACTCATCTGTGTCCCACAGCTTACCTGCCTGACTCAGTCCCCCCCTCCCCATGCGCTTGGTCTTGTCTGCTCATCTGGTCAGATCCAACAGTTCCTAACACCGTTCCTTGTTCCTGCTCCTCCTGCACCTACAGGGCTTTTGTATGTTCCTTGGGTTTTTGTTTTCAAAATCAAAATGTAGTTTTTACTTCAGCTCCTCCATCTCATTATTCACATTTTGGGTCTACCCATCCTCAACATATTTCTTATTTATATGTGACGAATTCCAGGAGTCAACTCCACATTCATTAATTCAAATTCAAGTTTATTTTATTTACCCTTTATTTATACAGGTAGTCTCATTGAGTCACAAGGACTCATTTTCAAGAGCGATCTGTTTGGGAGCAGATGTTAAGGGCCTTGCTCAAGGGCCCAGAGTGGGGCAGATGAGTGTGGAGGCAGCTTGGTGTTGTCAGTCCGGGGAGTTGAACCTGCGACTTTCCGATCACAGACCCATCTTCTCCAAGTTTAAAAGGACATTTGTTGCTGCTGGCCAACACGCTTTACATAAGAGAGTAAATAAGAAAAGACCAAAAACAAATAAAATCTGGTAAAACAAGTCAAATTAATTACAGTACAGAAAATAAAGAGAAAATGAAAATGCAAACCAGTAAATGTGTTTTAAGATGAGATGATGTAGGTCTACGTTGAGTAAAAAAAAAAAAAAATTTCTACTTTGAAAGTTGGTTAATTGTAAAAACACTTGAAAACAATACACAAATAATGTGTGGTCTCCAACTAAAAGCAGATTTCCTTTCAGATTACGGATGTGATGAAAACACATCTCAACCAAACAGAACGTTTCCCTCTAAACATCTTATTTAGTTTATTTTAAATGCATATTAAAGAACAGGTCCAAAGAGCAGCGTTATGTGTCAGACTGTGTGTTTTTATCATGATTATAGTTTAGATCTCCACCTCACAGTTCACTGATGCTTCAGGACTACTTTAATGTACAATGTGTTGTGTGAAAGCACATGAGGTTTATCATGCAGAGCAAACACCAGATATAGTCTCATCAGTTTAATGAGCATTGAACAAACGAGTAAACTCACTTTACCAACAAAAACACAAACAGTCGTCCCTCTTCAATTACGAAGCGTCCCTTTCTCTTACACTTCACGTTTCACTCGTTTATTCCCCTAAAACAGAACAAAACGCTGATTTTCAAAATGCTCCACGTACCCTGGTGGCTTCGGCTTTCTTCCGGAACATTTCCTCCATCTTCACAGCCAAGTTCTTAACCAGCTTCACACCATCAATCTCCTCCACTCTGACCGACTTTTCAGGTTCTTTAAATTTCTGAAAAAGAAAAATGAAGCCCTAAATAAAAAAGAAGTGTTGTAAACACAGCCGAACTTGCGGAGACGAGCCGCTCAGAAGGACGTGAACGCTCACTAAACACTCGGTGACGTCTCAGCACCTGCTGCTCCGCTCCAGTCACTGCAGACGTGTAAACAAGGCCCGTGAGCCGAGGTGACGCGCGCAGCCGCGCCTGATAAATCTTTACAGCAGCACGAAATGACTGACACTCTTTATCTGCTCGGAGCGACCGGCTGCACATGCAGCGCCTCTGTCGCCGCGATTGGCTGGAGATGGACATGATGGGAGGCCGGGGGAAGGTGTGGGGCTGGATGTGAAGGCTCCGCATGGTAAAAGGGTAATTGAAATGGAGTCAAAGCACAAGAGAAAGATAATAACGTGTCATGCCCGGGCAGCTCCGGGTAATGAACTACACCTCAAATAATGCTGACTCTGCTGGATGTACAGGACCTCCAGGGAGAGAACAAAACTCACAACAGCTCTGAGGAATCAAACATTACATAATCCCACATCTGACACACACACACAATCAAAACAAACCCCTTATCTTTTCACACTAATCCACTCAGCCACATCTTACACACTTCTAACAACCTTATCCTAGAATAATCACGGGTCACAAAGGGCTCGTGGCGCACGTTCAGAGGAGGTGCACGGTGTGTGGACGGCATGTGCACAGAAACACACACCATTACACGAGGCGACAAATTACCCACTGAATGGGAGAGTGTGGACTCGCAGTGGAGCAGAACAGTTCATTTCACGCCTGTCCTCCTCGACCCAGCACCCTGAGTCCTCAGTCCCGGCCCAAACCCCCCCCCCCCCCCCTCCAGTCATGAAGAGGAGGTTGAGCTCCATCCATCAACAGCACTGATCATGATTATTGATTAGTGCAATGACCGGTGCAGGAGGGCCGCGGTGCTTCCCGGTATTTGCAGAAATCCCAGTAAAATTGAGGGGAAATCACATTAAAAACAGCTAATGATCATCTTTAACGCCCCCCCCCCCCCCACACACACACACACACACACACCTTAACAACCTGTCAAGTCGCCTCACAGCCCACTGCGTTGTGCTGACTGGCTCAGCACAGACACACCTCCATAGGAACATGAGCAAAGTGCTGACAGATGCACAAAAAGGAGCAAACGTGCAGCCGAGAATGGAGCGTTGATGTTGTGCACGACCGAAATGCACGTTCCCTAACACGCAGCATCACACGTCAACCTCACAAACGCAGGAGCCGGTACCTCAGGGCACGAAGACCCGGGGTTCTGAGCCTGCAGCCGCTTTCTGAATGCAGTTTGCACACTTTCTCCATACTTTCGAGGGCCTGCTCGGGCGGCTCCACTTTCCTCCCACAGACAAGCAGCGGAGCTCTTTGGACTGATCCTGCTGCTGATCCTCACGGGGGGACTGGGCTCAGAAGTGGAGTTGGGCCCTGAGCGTGGTGCGGTGATGGTCCACAGCTCCTAAAACAGAGGGGGGAAGCAAGAACAATATGGTCATTTGTTAGAACAATGACCTGCAAGACAAGAAAAAGTAATCTGTTCTAACATCATGACGACGTTTGATTCTATCTTAAATGTCGGTTCACATGGAAGCTGCTTGAAACAGTCATCAACAAAAGGTGCGTGTTTGAAACTACGGGCTCCATCTCATCATACTATTACTAAACAAAATTAAAGATCTAACTGACCTGAAACTATGTTTAAAACTTGAACGGACATTTCTGTTTATAAGAAAAGACGTCTGGAAGATACAGATTCATGAATTGCTTCAAAAGTTATTCTAGAAATCAACTGATGATTTGCTGCTTTAGTCACTCCAACATTCTGCTAAAGGTTTCTTCCTCATGAGGGAGTTTTTCCTTTCCACTGTCGCCTTCATGCTTGCTTAAAATGAGAGTTCTGTGATGGAGTTAAACTCAAAGCAGTCTGCTCCTCAGATAAATAGAGTTAAATTATTATTTTTATATATGAATGTTTCTATTCAGTGTCCTGAGATGACTTCTGTTGTGACTTGGTGCTATATAAATAAACT